CCCAGGAAACTAATAATATACAAGTTGGAGGCAAAATATAACTCTCTCCTACTTCAATCTAGAGTTATGAAAGAGCCCCATCCTGGCTCATCATGAAGTTGATACTCGAATCCTTATTTGGTAATTCATTCTTTATGTATATCTCCTACTAGCCATAACCCTGAAGCCCAATAAGTGGGTGGTTGAAATAGGGGCTCAACAACTACTCTCAACTTCTAGAGGGAAACAATGGACAAGGGCTTTTGTCTACTGGCTCCTTCCTAAACCTGAAGCACAGCCCACATATCAGACAGCACAGAGAAGGTGACTGAGGAAGACATGGTAGCTCTCTGCTTGTCTGGAGTGTGTTGGTTCTTTGAGATCTGCCAGTAACTTAAGTCCTACCTCTTCTGTGAAACCATCCCTGATTATTTAAGCCTACATGAGAGTTGATCCTCTTGAAAAGTTCTATTAATTAATTCATTATTCATTAATCAATGGTGTATCTCTTTGGTACTTAGAAAACTATCATAACTTTTATAATGTTTATGACCTGGTTCCCAAGCTATATCTTGAGTTCATTGAGGAAAATAGATAATAACTAGCAAATATATATGTGTAGAGTAATGTTGAGGAATTGTATGGTTTATCTGCATTGACAACACCTGGTCTGATGCCTAGTATGAAGGTGGTAGTTCTCAGTAAATGAAGACAGGAAAGAAACTGATTCTTAGCCTTCGAAATGGATGGAAATGCATTATTTGTTTCCTGCTTAGTGAGATTTCCCTTTTTACTAATGGATTCTGTCGATCTTGATCATAACAATTGGCATTTAATTAAGGCAGAAAAAGACAGAGTCTTTCTCTGGATTTATATAAAGACATTAGGAAAAAGAAAAGACTTCCTTTCCTCTGCTAAGTTTAAGCTGGTGGAAGCTATGTTTGCTGTTACATAAAAAGGACTTTATCTGTAGTAGGAAGGAATGAAACTGACATACACAGAGAAGGAGAATCACATGGGGGTAAGGTGGTTGGATAGTAAGAAAGACCTGACATCACTGTGATCCAGCTTCCAGTTCCAGACCCTGGGAGCCCCCTTCATGGAGCATTTTCTCTGATTCCATTTAAGTATCTTGATGTACTTCCTGGCCATACTTTCCAACACATTTCTGTAGGTGTGAACTTAAGCTAGCTTCAGTTGGGCTTCTGTGACTTACAACAAAAACAATTTTAACTCGGTAGCCTTCAAGGCAAGAATATTATCATGGGGTCTCCCTGAGCTGTTTTAAGGATCCATGAGAACATCTGTACATAATTCACACATGTAGATATACAGATATATAATAGATTAATTGCTAAAAGATTTAAAGTCTAATATGGGTCTTGTTTTAATCTTGATGCTTAAGAATTTCAGACTGTCTCTGAAAAAAATAACATTGAATTGAAAAATAAAGAATTTAGGCACACATGAAAAACTACAGTGTAAGGCTTTTTTTTTCTGACTTTTTATAAAAGTAGATTATCCAATATTTTAATGACATCGTAAAGGAAAATAAAACATAGTTTACTGTGTGGCCAGCATCAATGTGTGTGTCATAAAGAATGTGACATAGAATGCTGAGAATAATGGAAAAATAGTAAGGTTGGTGAATTATTAATTCACATATGCCCCAAACCTTATGTTCTGCATTGATGAAATCTACTTCTTACTATTTACAGAAAGTTAGATATAGCCAAACATTTTATCAGCAGTTTTTCTTCTGTTTAGGCTCCTTTATTTCTGTATGATTTCTAATAGCAAAGAGTGATCAGATGATCACAACTACTCTCAACTTCTAGAGGGAAACAATGGACAAGGGCTTTTGTCTACTGGCTCCTTCCTAAACCTTGAAAGTACACTGGTGAAGCTTCATTCAAAGGGCTCTACAATGGACATACATGTATTTTTTGTCTGCCCAGAAATCCTTTAGGATACTGGTTCTGTGGTACTGTATAGAGAGTGATGGAGAGCAATAATCCTGAAATCAGCACATTGTACCCCATAAATACATTAATGTATACATGATTTATGTGTTTATGATTTAATTTAAAAAAAAAAAAGGGGAACCAGGCTCGGTGGCTCATGCTTGTAATCCCAGTACTGTGGGAGGCTGAGGAGGGAGAATTACTTGAGCTCAGGAGTTCGAGACTTGCCTAAGCGAGAGTGAGACCCCAACTCATGAAAAAAATGGAAAAACCCAGCCAGGTGCCATAGCGAGTGCCTATAATCCCAGTGGCTTCCAGAGGCTGAGGCAGCAGGATCCCCACAAACCAGAGTCTAAGGTTTCAGTGAGCTACCAAGCCACTGCACTCTGCTCAGGGGCATAGGGTGGGACTCTGTCTCAAAAAAAAAAGGGGGAGAGGAGGGCAGTGCCTGTGGCTCAAAGGAGTAGGGTGCTGGCTCCATTTACCAGAAATGGTGGGTTCAAACCCAGCCCGGCCAAAAAAAAAAAAAAGGAAAAAAAACTGCAAAAAAACCAAAACAAAACAAAAAAAAACTTGAAGAAAAAGGGGGGGGGGAATTAATCTTAAGCATATGAGGCTATTCCACCAAACAGCATTCATTGATGAAATTTCCAGATGTAGAAAGATTCTCTTGCTACATGGATATATATTGTTATAGTTATTTCAAGTATATATTTTATATATCATAAATATATGTATTTAAACTTACCATTGCACATGGTTGGGTCACTGTTTCAACAAATCCATCAGAGTGCCTACATGTTGCTATAGGCATTATATTGGTGAAGCTACCATGGTCAATGGTCTCTGCTTACATGCACTTTATACTTTGGTGAGGGAGGCAGGAAATACAAATTGGGGGTGTACACAAAAGCAAAACAAGCTTGAGAATGGTTAGGATTAGAGTGTGCCTCTTTAAATGAAATAATTGGAAAGGATCTTTCTGAAGAGACCACATTTGGCCTGAGAACCAAATATGAGTCAGTCAGGCCCAGGGTGTTAGCACTCGGGAAAGAAAGGACCCAAAGCAGAGGGAAGGCATAGAAGAATGGGCCTGAGTACAAATGAAAACAACTTAAAAAGAATTCTAATTTTCTAAGCCACAGAAGATTTTGAGCACATTAACAACATTTATCTCTCTCTTTTTTTTTTTTTTTTGAGATAAAGTCTTTGTCATGCTCATTAGTGCCATGAGCTCATAACTCTCATAGCAACCTCAAACTCTTTGCTCAAGTGATTCTCTTGCCTCAGCCTCCCAAGTAGCTGGGACTACAGATGCATGCCCTGTTATTTTTAGGGGAGAGGGTCTTGCTCTGGCTCAGGCTGGTCTCAAACTCCTGAGCTCAAGCAATCTACCTCCTTCAGCCTCCCAGAGTGCTAGGATTACAGGCATGAGCCACTGCACCTGACCCCACTGACGTATCTTTTTAAAAGACCATGCTGCTGATTGATTAAAGCCACTCTAAACTTAAGGTTCTGACTCATTCTTTGGACATGAGTCGTTTTTCCTGTTTAGTTTTTGCCATTAATATTTTGGAATAAATGAACCCTTCTTGGCAGAATTATTTTGAACAATTGACATTATTGGTATAAAAGTCCTCTGCAAATAAAACAAGTTCTAAGACCCATTGTCCCTACCCTTCATAGACAAACAATTGGTATGGTGAATTGGGCCTGAAAGCAATCTAAAGTGTTCCCCCCTGTGTTTCATCCAGGCTTTTGTGAGCTCAGACATGCTGGACACACATTGATGAGGCTGGGATTGAGTCCTGTGAACAGAGTAAACAGCTGTGATTTGAGTGGCCGGGGAAGCGCCAGCTTGCTCTCAGCCCCTTCAGACTGGAGAGCCAAATCACTCAGGGGCCAAGCAATTGTATTCCATGCATGGTTTGCTACTAATTGCACAAGGGAAGAGGACGGGAGCACCTGGTGCCTGTTTGCAATGCGTACTGGAGAACACAAGATAATAAACATCCCTAATAACATTGGTGATGGCATATTTGAGACAGAACCAGTACTTTAACCTCAGTGGGCTCTCCCAGCCAGATGTTCTCATTTCAAACTCTCTTCTAATGATTTCATCAGGAATGATCCTGCACACAAAACCTTCCAGAGCCAAGGAATGCACCTTAAATAAGAGCCCTGGATACCTCATCTCTCCTCCTCACTTTCCACTCAAGGAATAGATAGAGGCAGATATGGAGATGTAAATACTGCTGAGTTAAAGTCATGTGAAAAGTGTTTGGTATTGTGGTTTCTGAAGGGCCCTTCAAGTTGCACCCCTCTTTCCATTTAGGGTTTTTTTTTTTTAATTTTTTACAAATATTGTTTAATGAGGCCAGTACAGATAATGTCCATTTAAAACCCATATCCTAGGCCAAAAAGCACAAATAAAACCAAGAGCAGTGTTCTGTTGTATATACTTCGGCATGAATAATGTTATTACTTGTTAATAAAAATTAGAACTTTTCTGGGATCTTCCAACAAGATTTTTAAAAAATCTTAAAATCGCCTTCTCTTCAGTGAAGCCATCTTTGGAGTTAGTCATTCCTCTCACCTTCTCTGCCATCTTGACTCCAGCTTGACATTCCTCTTCTTTTGGTCCAGATCCTCAGATTTTGAAAAGTAGCTTCAAGTGAAAGAAAGGTCATTTTTCCACAGTTCAGTTCTCTGAAAAACTTCCATCTCCCACTGAAAGTCACAGTCCAGGAGTGAAGCAATCACATGCTAGAACATCAGGGCCAACTGGAAAGTCATTCTGAACACCTCTTGCATTGGTCAACTTATTTATCAAGAAATTTCCTCACAAGCCTGAAAATGCACAGGACTGTGCACACATGTAATTGTTAAAAAGGAGTGGGCAATATGAAGGGGACTGAGGCTTGATCACCAAAAAGCACAATGAAAACCAAAGATAATGAATAAGGAGCACTAGAATTCAAATTACCAGATGTTTTAAAGAGATGGGGTGCCAATTTTCAATTGTTTTGAACACCACATTACAGAAAAATCTATTTTTTAAAAATAAGAAAAGGATTGAGGGAAAAGAAAAAAAAGTAAAAGAATATCTAAACTGTTGAATGACCCCGTTTGTTCCTGATAAACTTCAATCACATCTTCTTCCTCCATTCCCAGTTCTTTCGGAGTATGATTATCAGCAATTCTCTGACCTTCAAAGAGAAACCTGAGTGAATTCATTGGAACTCCCTGTCTTTGACAGTGTGATTCTTTGAGTTTCTTGAGATGTGTTGTCATTTTCACTTTCAAGTGAATCTCTGTGCTATCCTGTCCAGTGACTTTGAGTTTAATGTATTCTCCTTCCATCCTATCCCCCAAGTCTTCGGTTGAGGGTTTTGCCTCTTGGTCAGACATGGTGATGGTGGCTTCCCTTCAGGGGTCTTCACGCAGCAGCAGCCTGGGGTAGGCAGAACCTCACTCTGGGGTTTACAAATTCGTCTTCCTTTCCCATAGCACAGCACCACAGCTGTCTCTATTTAGGTTTTGAACAATTAGAAATGAAACAAAAGAATAGCAAATAGAGGGCAGCTTATTATCTTGTAAGACAGGGATCCTAGCACAAGAATATGACAGGCTTAGAATATAAGGCTCCAGGACTCTTACAATATGGGACATGGGCAAGAGGGGAAGATTCTCCCTCAGAGGAGCAACAAGAGTGCATGGTTTGAAGGAAAAGAGGGTGGCAGCACATTTTCAAGCAGAGGTAAGAAGCTGAGTTACCTTGGGTAGATTTATTCTTCAGGTAGGTCTGTGATTCTGGGGCCAGTAAGTCAAGAAGCCGTGGTCATGTGTTACACTAATTTGGATCCCTTCGCAGAAAGGAATCATCAGAAGATAGGAAAGAAGAGTTCCTCCTTGATGTTTGTCATAGCTGTTTGGGTTTAACTTTCAATCTCTAAAGAATAGGAAGGAGATGGAGATAAAAAGACAATACAAGAGGAAGATGAGGTAAAGATGTTGGTGAAAAGAAAAATAGCATACATAACATGGACATGGGAAGCAGTTAAATGGAAGGATCAGGAAATTATGAAGGTTCCTGTAAACATCTGATAGTAATCTGCTTATCTTGGGCAATGTATTGTGCATATGGATGTAACATCCAGTTCTCGCACTCCAGTGATTTATTAGTATCTTAGTTCATTAAAAGGAATAAAATGAGGAAAGTTAACTAAGGGGTTTGTGTGTCATCCTAATTTTAACTTTTGTGATAATTTTATTTGAGTAAGATGTTCCATCTGGCATAGTGACTGCATAGGTGATTCTAATTATTGAATAGACAGAGAGCCTCACTGGCATTCTAGTTCCTGAGTGATTCATTTGAGTAGCAGTGTCCACATTTATCTGGATATGAGCTTTTTCCAGAATGTATAGGACGATTCTGAATGATTTTTTCATATGTTTGCTGACATTTTCAAATTTCTTCTTTTAAGAATAAACAGAGCTAGAATTGTATTGACTGTTTACCCAGCTATAGTTGATAGGGATCAGGTTTTTTGATGCTCAGGATTCATCCCCATGATTTTCTTAAAGACAATCCCCTCTCCAAAGTGGAAATAGTCTGGGATGGATTGTAATTCCTGTTACCTGCCTGGTATCTCTTTGCTAAGGATCCATCTTCTAGCCACACCTGGCACATGATCTAAGCTTAGCTAAGCAACGCTGTGCTTCTTTAGGGAGTGACACAGAAAGATAGCTGTATTTGGACACTAAATTCAGTTTGACATAGGAATGGGGCAGTAATGACTGGGGCATGAGAGGCAATGGTGCCAGTGGCAGGAGAGGAGGCATCCAGACCACCTTGTTTGCCCATGAGATAGCTATGCTTCTTTTCTTCTGGTTTCAAGCATCTGGACTGACTTCTGAGCATCCAGTTGATGTGGTAGTGAGTGCCTGTTACCATCTACTCCAAAAATCCTTCAAGTAAAGCTATTCTGATTTCATACACCCAGATGGGGGTCAACTTTTGCTTGCAGATAAAAACCCTTACTGACCATCCTTGATCATCTTCAGGAGGTGGTTCAAAAGGAAAAAATCTTCCTGAGAAAAAATGAGTTTTTCTTAGATGGAACTTTCCATCATTTAATATTTATTGAGTGCCTACAATTATCTAGGTCCTGGGGCATGAAGATGAAAAGTAAAATGTACAATAGTCTATGCTCTCTTGAAATTTAAAGTGAAGCTGGGAAAAAAGTCACTAAAAAATTGTACAAATAAATGTAAAATTATAACCATGATAACTGGTATGAAGAAAAAACCCCATGATGCTATAAAAAATTATATTGGAAGGTATTAATCTAGTCAGGGAGATCAAACTCCCTTAGTGATGAGGGCAAAATAAGCTTTAACTAGATAAAGGAGGGGCAGAGAACAGGGGAGAAAACCTCCTGGGAATAAAGGGTCCTAGGAAGACACAATTGCCCTCGAGGTAAAGCATTAAAAACCATATTAAAATGCAAGTTTTACACATGGGTGGATAAAACATTAAATCATTATTTTCCATTATTAATTCAGTGCTAATCAGTTAATCAGCTTGGAGATATTTAGTAAGAATGGTGCTCCAGCTAGATACATTTGGAAGTGTGTATTAGAAAATGGGGGGCTATCCGGGGTGCTATCACCAGGGACAATCAAGGACAAACGCCTCAGTTAACAGTTTCCCCATTAAGGTTTTCTTCCATCACCAGAGTTGATGAAGCATTAAACTCTCTAGATTAAAGAAGGACACTGGGAACAGAGATGGTATTGCCAGAAGAATAATGCAACGCTGAAAATACTCTTGCATAATTTTGTCCAGAGTTTATCTAAGAGGGGGAAAAAAAATCACAAGAAAATATCTGAGCAAAAAAATTCTCAAAGCTATTTAAGCCATTTCACAAATGCCCAGTGCAGCTAAATCATTCATGCAGCTTTTCTATTGTGTAGTGTAACAGCCAAGTGGTAAAGGAGGTGCATATAGCCCAGATAAAAATGATGCCAGGACCACACTTCATGTGGCAAGAGCTGGAACAATTGCAATAATTTATTATGTTTATAGCATATAATTCAGTTTATAAAGCAATGTGAAATATTCAAATATTCCTTTTAGGATAAAATGAGGATATATATAGTAGAACCTCCATAGTTTTGTCCTCCTTATGTTGACCTAATGTTCATAGACCAGATATGCACCACAAGTACATATCAGTACAGTAGGCCTAGTTCCTCACGTTGGCCACCGGCATGTATTGACTAGTTTGTTACACTTGCTTGGGTGGTCAACTTACAAAGGTTTTACTGTATTATTTATTTTTAACTCTAATTCAGAGAAGAGAAAATGGAGGCTCAGTGGGGTTAAATAACTTGCTCATACTCCTAGAATGATGAACTGGCAGTACATGATAGAAGCTCAGGTCATCTGACTCATAGCTGGAGTTTATTTCAAGAATCAGTTCACAGGTTCAGTTTAACTTATCTTTCCCCAGGGTGCTTTGAGCTTGAGAATTCAGCAAAAGAGATTTTATCAAACTAGCTGGTATCCATGAACCAGTGTGGTCTAACCCCCTACTAGTAAGGAATTTGAGGTGGTTAGCCTCACCCTAAGTCTGGAAAAATTGAACCTACTTACCAAGGAAAAAGGAAAGTTATAATAATAATTTATTAGCACTCTTTCCATCAGTTTTTACAAGGGTGTGCTAAATTTTGCAAGTTACTTTAATTGCAAGATATGATGGAGAGAGATTAAGATTGTGAGTTTCTTGATGTCCTCTCTCTTTCATTTTTATGACTAGAAGGAAAGAGAAGTTTATTTTCTTGTTGGCAATTGAGGAGACAAGTAGACTCCTGTCTCAAAAACGCCAGTGGCCCCCTTTTGAACAGAAACATAAAGCGTTTAAAGGTTCTGATTAATTCCCGAATTCCATTTTGGATATAATAATCTTGTGATCTTCACGCAGATAATCCCATCTTTGGCTATGATGAGCTCATAATCAATTCCCTTGAGCTATCTCCTGTGGCATAGAAAAAACAAAAGACATTCCCTTTCCCCTCCACTGGCCTAAGTCAGGGATGTAGGTTTTAGTTCTTAAAAAAAGAGGGTAAGGGGTTTTGAAGAAACATAAAATGCCCCCCCCCCCACTTCCCACATGTGCAGGAACTTGGCAAAGGCCCTGTCCTGGGCTAGCAGCTCCTGGTAGGAGCCCACGTTGGAACTTTATGTGCTGTTTGCAGTTGGATAGGATAAGTGTCTACTCAGCCTGGAGGGATATCTACTAATAGTGAGCGACACTGTCAGTCATCAAAAGGGTTGGGCCATCAAGTTGTGCTTTCTATACAGGAGGTCATCTCTCTGTCTTTAGATAATTGGAGCATGTTAATTGTAAACAGGGTCCTCTCAAATGAGGTCCCACCAATTCCATTAAGGCAAATAATCTATTGCAAATGGAATCCTCCCAAATGAGGTGCATTCTTGTGGGTGCCTACAAGAGGCTGAACCAAAGCTTCATGTGGGAGAATTGTGTTTCCCAATGTCAGAGTGCCACTGTGCCACTCCTGATCTCAGAGCCTCAGTCTTTACTTTTAAAGGGGATCTTAGCAGCCATCAAATCCCCACTGCCAATTTGTATTTAGGGTTTCAGTGGGGAGGCATAGAACCCCAGGCTCCCCCATTTATAAACATGAGCTAATTAGAACCCCAATGTCATTTTGCACTCTGGGCTTCTATGGAGATATGTGGGTTGGAGCTAAACAGTGAAGCAAGTAGCCTACTCATTCATCATCCAAGTCATAGACCTGAAGGAACCATTTGCTTTCCTGAGGGTTTCTTATTACCTAGAGCTCTTTGTGGTCATGGGCTAGGGTTCTTTTCAATGTTTTTTTATTTTTCTAAAATTCAGAACATGCCATTTTTTGTTTACTTCAAAGGCCATATTAACCAGCTGTGAAGGATTCATGCTAATTATCTTGCCCTGGCTATGGGTACCCCCTGGCCAAACTGAGCTTCAGTTGGGTAAGGAGAGACCATTCTTGCCCCCAGGTATACCCTAATGGGCTTGAGGTTGAATAATTAGTTGAGGCAGCAACTTTCCTGCCCCATCCCATGGGACCAAAATGGCAGCGGCTGCGGGTGTTCCTTCCTTCTTAGTGCAGGCTGCTCAGTGGGGCTGTGTGTGCAGTTCCTCCCTCTCATCAGTCCTACTGCAGGGCTGTGGTTCCTCCCAGCATCTCATCCTGGCTGGCTACGGAGTTCTGGTGGGGGCAGAAGGACCTCATTCATCAAAAATCTTATATGCACAGATCATTTAATATCCCATAAACTGAGAGTTTCTGTCCGCACTTTTAATAATTGCCAGGTTTGGGGATCTTTGAAAAAGCCAAAG